GATTCCCTGGTGGCTCAGGGGTACAGAATCGCCTGCCAGTGCAGGAGACACAGGTTCACTTCCTGGGTGGGGAAGACCCCCTGGAGAAGGAAATGGCAACTCACTCCAGTACTCTTGCCTGGAGAATCCCATGGACAGAGGAGCCTGGCGGGCTGCAGACCATGGGGTCACAGAAGAGCTGGACATGACTTAGCAACTGAGCAACAACCACTACCGTCCTACACTACAGGCAGATAAGTGAAAAGTGACAGTGTTAGTTGCTCAGTTGTGTCAGACTTTGCGACTTCATCTTCTGTAGCCTGCCAGGCTCCTCTATCCATGGAATTCTCCAAGCAAGGATTCTCCAGTGGGTTGCCATTTCCTTCCCCAGGGGATCTTCCTGACCCAGGGATCAAACCCCAGTCTCCTGCATTGCTGGCAGACTCTTTACCCACTGAGCCACCAGGAAAGCCCACCGGTAGATAATCTTACCATAAAGAATTCAGATATTGTAATTATGAATGAAACTGCTGGGTATGACAACCAAAGTACCCACTGGTCAACGTTTTGCCTTAAGTCTTCAGTGACTTCCTTCTTCTCCCTGAGACACCAATAATAAATTCCCAACACTTTTACTTGGTGTCACCTTTGTCTTTTTGGTACAATTTAACAACTGGTTACCTAAATAACTGTAAAATCAGAACTACATGCTGATTTCTTCCTCTAGAACTTGTCCTCAGCTGCCATGTACACAGATGTACATGTTCTCCAGTACACTGATACAGAAAGAGTATTCAGTGGGTAAATAAGAATACACATTCTGTAAAAAAAAAAAAAAGGTAAGACTGGGATGAACACTCTTCCACTGGAACACCAGATATCTCTCGCTCCACCCCTACTGTACAATCCTGCACTGCTTACTTCAACTGCCTAACCTGTCTCCCCAAATGGTACTCTCGGGCCTTCTTCTTAAGCTCCCTTCTCCAATTCATTCTTCACCTTACAATCGAAGCTTTTACAAATGCATATCTATCTCCCATTTAAAAGTTTAGAATAAAGTCCAAAACCTCTAATTGGGACTGTCAGGCTTTGTAAGCTCTGGACCCTGACTATTTTGTAGTTTCTTGTCACCGACTCTCTCCCACAGCACTCCCTTTCCCAGTAGTTCTAAATATCTCCGGGTCTAAAGCAGGCCTTGACTTCTCCTGCCTCAGTCCTTCACATATACCACCCTCTCTCTACACTTCATTCTACCCTCTTAGTGAGCCTTCTCTGAACTACCACTTATCTTTTCAGCCTCTACTTAAAGCTCACGTTTTCAGTGCTGCACAAGACTGTTAGTCTGGATTATAGTTTAGTCTCTCCTCCATCCCACGCACAAAGCCAGGCTCCATTTACCAGTCCCTCTCTCCAATACAAAGTGATAATGAGCCTTTGGCGTTCTCTTCCTTTTCCACCAGGAGAAACCCATGAAAACCCAGTTTCTGCCATGAGACAACACTCGAGGGAGGCAGAGCAGCACGATGGAAAGAACACGGGTACCTGAGTGATCATACAGAGCAGAGTCCCCTGTGCATCAAAAAGTAGCAGAGGAAGGACCCAAAAAGGAGAACAAGGGCCAGACACATACTGACTTGTGGGCCACTCTGGATTTTTATTCTAAGTATGACTGTTGGAAATTATTTATTTAAAAGTTCACTTCTAAAAAAAAAGTTGACTTCCCTTCTGAACTGCAAGCTCTAAGAGGGCAACTGTCAATAGCAGAGTATTTTCTTCCTTTGTATCACCAGCATCAATCACAATGGATGGAATACAGCATGTATCAAATGTTTGATAGAATGAATGACTATAAAGAGACCACATTATTTCTCCATATATAAAGGGATCTCAGAAGTCATTCTCACTAAATTAGAGAAATACACATGATAAAAATTACAGCCTCCTGTCTACAAGAGAATACTTTCCTAAATATAGTAATACAGAAGAAAAAAATAACCTTGAAGCCCTGAGGACACTATTTGAATCAAAGTTCCCCACCCCCTTTCCTGTAGCACTTCCTTCATATGGAACCCTGTGAAAGGAGCCAGTTCCCCAACCAGTATGCAAAAACAGGGTGTGGAATAGTGGTGTTAGCAGACAAAGTAGTAACTCTACAAGTCTATGTAATTTCCAGCCATTTAAACCAATTTTGGAATCTTTTGGTAAACTGGCTGAGGTGCTTTCCTTCTAGGGAAGAAATTTTTTTCCTAAATTTCAATAGCTCTCTTAGATTTATTTAGAATGACGAACCTAAAGCAACAGAACAAAAGAAAAGTAGGTTTTTCTGGTGTTTGGTAAAATGGTACTATCTTAGTATATACACAGAACAGTCTATAAGATCTGTAAAGTTTACAATAAGGAAAACTATACCTGTTTCTATCATAAGAAAAATGACAAATTAACAAAGCATAAGCCAATATGAAACACGAACACTAAGAGAGGACCCTTAGCCAGAAAGGGCCTAAGGAAAATAGGACTCAAGTAAGGTAACAACAGTCTGAAAGATGAAAGGCAGATGAAGGTCTTACAGATGAAAGAACTAACTTGAGCAAGTATTCCAGGGGATATGGAGAAATAAGAAACTGTTTAGAGTATTGGACTGGAGAAGATGCTGGCAAAAAAAAGTACAGTGATTCTTACAGCTTACAATTACAATTACATTCTTACAGCTTACATTCTTACAGCTATCAAAGGGTCTTAAAAGACCCTTTCTAAAACCTCCTAATTCCAAGATGAGAAAAAGTAGACCCAAGAAAGCCACACAAGTTTTACCCAGAGCTAATCAGCAGTAATGCTGTCAAAGAATTCAGGTTTTCTGATTCTTTTTCATTAAGCACGGTGGGAAAGCATTGTACCAGGCACCCTTAAAGAAGCCAAAAGACATGCACCTAAGTTTCCCTATCTTCAAAGAACTTAAAATGTTGCTTAGTTGATGTGACACATAAAAAAGAAAAATACAAAAACAGGATGTAAAATTTTTTTAAGTGTCAAATTATGCTCTGCAAAAATACATAAGGTATTTAGGGAGCTGGGAGATTGGAAACAAAAAATAAAAACAAAAAAGGAACCAAAAAGCAAATCAATGACTGTTGAAGTGGTACTTGAAAGAAAAATTATTTTGATGACTTCTGTTCAGAATGGCATTAAATTTAAGGGAAGAAACTGGGGAGGAATTAGTAACTGTAACTTTAAAAATTATGGATTGCTTTATACAGTCATGAAAATAAAAGGGCCGATCAGGAAGTTCATGTTTGCAAAATTACCTCAAATTACAAAAGAACCAGTTACAATATATAACAAGTTGCACAAGTTCCAAGTGTAAGAAGTTCATAAGTCAGGTTTGGCTCACTGATTTCTACCAACAGAACCAATGACTAAGCTGTGCTTATGAAAACCAAACCACAGAAAAAAAGAATTCTATTTTCCAGAGATTTGTGGATGTTGAGATTATCTTTTTTCTCCCCCCCCCCCCACCCCCGGTTAGTAGAAAGTTCTGGTTTGGTTTTCAATCTCAAGTTACCAATCAACTTGCTCTGCAATCCATAAAACTACAATATCCAGATAGGATAAAGATACCGCCAGCAAAAGTCTTATTACTAACCAGAGTCAGTATATTTACAAGATCTCATTCACCATTTTACTGGTAAGATGCTTTACTGGCCTGACTGCCTCCAGTTGCAACCACAAGTACCTTAACAAAATATTCTTCAAGCCAGGGAACAGTGCCTTAAAGTCAATGATATCCTTCTTCACACCATCATACCAGTTCTACAACACAGAACCCAGAGATTATTACATGTATCTCCAAAATCACCAGCTGCATTAACAACAACTATATAAAATGACCTATTAGTGTATTTTTTAGATGTTTTACAGAAAGCTTTAGACCTACATATGAAAAAGAGCTGGTAATGATTTGCATTCTCTATAATCTTAAAAAAAAACTACACTACAGACCAGGAATCAAAAATAGCTTTACACAAACAAGAGCAAAATTGTAGGTTTTGCTGAGGGCATCAGCCACTTAATTTAACCCCACTTCATCAGGAGCAGGAAGCCATGCTGCTGTTTTCATGAGTTACTAGGAAACAAATAAGATAAAGGAAGGATTGGGCAGAAGAGTCTATAGCTGAAATTAACAATTTGATAAATGACTGAAAATTCCCAAAGAAAAAAAGCACCTAGAGCTGCCTCAAAAAGAGAATCTGCAACAGTCAATGGTTTAATTGGAGAAAAGACACACTCGAGCTCGGGGCTGTTTTTTCCCCCTTTCTCCAGCCCCTCCTCCCTTCCCCCACCTAAACAGGAAAGAAAGCGCGCCCAGCGTAAACACAGGCCAAAGCTCACGGTTTGTCACCACAACAAACTGGAGGTTACACCAGCGCTCTTGGAGACTGAGTCCCAGGTCTCGGTTGCTAGGCACAAAAACGGCCTCTTTCCCACAGACCTGTGAACACCGGGGCGGGGGTTGGGGGCTGGGGCGGGGAGGCTTACCCAAGAGTTTTGGTGGTTTCCTCCCACCGCCCCCCGCCCCAGGCTTTTTTTTTTTTTTTTTAAACGAAAGCTTTGGCAAAGTGGCGACAAACAGCAAAAGTTTCCCTTTGAGCCAGACTTCTAGGTTGGCCGGTCCCACTTAGTCTCCACCATCATCACGATTTACCAACCTAACGATTAAAGAACACAAGCGGAGAGGATAGGAGGGCTTCCACACCCACCCTACCGCCGCCGTCCGTTCCAGACACCGCTTCCTTGTCCCCAACAGCACAGATAGCCTCAAACCAAGGCGCTAAGCTGCGCTGTGAAATTCACACGCGCAAACCACATACTGGGAACCGGCCACGACACCCGAGGAAAAACCGGCCGGGTGAGGAGACGCCAGGCGGACCCCTGTCATCTGAGGACAACACGCCCAGGAGAGAAGTGGCAGGACACAGGAGGAGTTGCCCCGAAAACAAGCCCTCAGCCTCCCCACTTTCTTGGGGATGCCATCCCCTCCGCGGCCGGGAGAGGCCGGGCCACAGGGCTTGGCGCCGCGTCCCGGGTGGGGGCAGCCGAGGGAGGCGCCCCCCGCAAGGCCGGGCGCCCCGAAGAGCCCGCGGCCAGCCCGGCCCCGCCTCGGGGACCCGATAGGAGATCGGTCCCCGCCGAGGCCCCTGCCCGACCGCTCTCCCGCTTCGACTCACCGCCGGTGTGTCTTCTGGTTCTCAGCCGCGAGCTGGGGCTGCCGTGAGGAGGCGGCGGAGGAGACGAGATCCGGGGCCCCGCCGCCGGGTCATCATACCCCCTGCGCGAGCCGGCCCGGGCCCCGGCCCCCGCCCCCCGGAGCCGTCCCCGCGCCCGTCCCGCGGGGGGAGCCCTCTCAGCTTCCCGCCCGCTCCACCGCCCGGCCCCTCTCCGCCGCCGCCGCCGCCTCTGACCCGCGCGCTCCCTCCTCGGCCTCCCGCTGCTGTCCGGGGCCACCGCCGGGCCCCTAGCTCCGCAGCCGCGGTTGTCGCCAGACCCGACAAGCTGAGCGCCGAGCGTCCGCCCTCATCCGGCCCGCCCCGCCTCGCGGGAACTAGTCCCGGGTCCCGCGCCATGACACCTACTGAGGCGGAAGTCCGGGAGAGCAGGAGGATTACGACGACCTCATTTTACGGGTGGGAGTGGAAGTGGGAGTGGGTGGACCTCCGTGGGAGGCCAGCGTGGATAGAGTGCTGGGGTCATCTCCCCGCCCCCTCCTCACGGCCAACACCGAGGTGACTTAAAGTTGCCTAGTGTCGGTGTGAGGTCCAGGTTTAAAATGCCATCCCCGCCAGTGTGACATCACCACCTCCTCGTGTGACACTTCCAGAGATTGAGCAGCGCGCGGGGAGGCAGTGCCTACCGGGAAGCCCCCCTGCTGGTGAGGAATGACCAAAGTTTAGGCTTTAATGTTTCCTTGCTATCTAGAGTCGTTCTAACTGCTTGGCAGAGGTGTATGGGATCTGTGAGCCTCCACGCCCATTAGGACCCCCTGAGGGGGCTCTTCCATTCCCTCCTTGGGAAGCTTGGTTTGCAACAGGAGGTGAGAAAATGGCTGTACTCTGAACCCTACCCCCCCCCCCGCCCCCCGCCAAGCGTTTCAGTGAGCTCATACTACCATAATTTTCTCTCCTCTACCAGGAGATAGTAAAACCGAGTGTTCAGGAAAAGGAATGCAACGTTCTGGAAAAATAAACACTGCCTGAAAACTGCTGCTGCTCAGTCGCTTCGGTCGTGTCCGACTCTGTGCGACCCCACAGACTGCAGCCCACCAGGCTCCCCCGTACCTGGGATTCTCCAGGCAAGAACACTGGAGTGGGTTGCCATTTCTTTCTCCAAAAACTAGGTTATCCTAAAAGAAAGACAGTTGCCATCTCCCTCGGCCAAGAGATTCTGAAAGTATTCAGATCTACCTCTTGGTGTGTAAAATGCTCTGATTCCTAAAGTGTGGGACATTTTTAGGCAGACAGTTAATTTTTTCCTTCCCACAAGTTCTGGAGGCAGCAAGGATCTGAGCCCTAGAAAGTGACTACAGAACTATGGTATTTACTTGCATATACTCTTTAAGGGGGCTTCCCAGATGGCGTTAGTGGTAAAGGATCCACTTGCTAATGCAGGAGATTTAAGAGATGTGGGTTCCATCCCTGGGTCAGGAAGATCCCCTGGAGGAGGGCATGGCAACCCACTCCACCATACTTGCCTGGAGAATACTGGAGGAGAGAGGAGCTTAGTGGGCTACCATCCATAGGGTGGTAAAGAGTTGGACACAACTGAAGTGACTTAGAATGCTGGCACTCTTTGAGAGGGCCGATGTAGCTAAAACAAGATTATACTATCAGGTTACATTTCCCAGGTCCCAGTCATTTTACCTCTTTGGGTTTTGTTTGTTGTTGTTATTCAGTCTCTTAAGTCATGTCTGACTCTTTGTGACCCCATGGACTGCAGCACTCCAGGCTCCTCTGTCCTCCACTATTTCCCAGAGTTTGCTCAGATTCATGTTCATTGAGTTGGTGATGCTATCTAACCATCTCATCCTCTGCTGTCTCTTTCTCCTTTTGCCTTCTGTCTTTCCCAGCAGCTGAGTGTTTTCCAATGAGTTGGCTCTTTGCATCAGGTGGCCAAAGTATTAGAGCTTCAGCTTTAGCGTCAGTCCTTCTAATGAATAGTCAGGGTTTGTTTTCTTTAGAATTGACTGGCTTGATCTTCTTGCAGTACAGGAGGCTCTCAAGAGTCTTCTCCAACACCACAATTCCAAAGCATCAATTCGATGCTCAGCCTTCTTTATGGTCCAACTCTCACATCCTTACGTGACTACTGGAAAAACCATAACTTTGACTATACAGTCCTTGGGCAGCAAAGTGATGTCTCTGCTTTTTTAATATGCAGTCTAGGTTTGTTATAACTTTCCTTCCAAGGAGCAAGCCTTTTAATTTCATGGCTGCAGTCACCTTCCATAGTGATTTTGATGCTCAGGAAAGGAAAATCTGTCACTGTTTCCACTTTTTCCCCTTCTATTTGCCATGAAATGATGGTACTGGTTGCCATTATCTTAGTTTTTTGAATGTTGAGTTTCAAGCCAGCTTTTTCACTCCTCTTTCACCGTCATCAAGAGGCCCTTTAGTTCCTCTTCACTTTCTGCCATTAGAGTTGTATCATCTGTCTGTTTGAGGTTGTTGATATTTCTCCCAGCAATCTTGATTCCAGCCTGTGAGTCATCTAGCCTAGCATTTCGAATGATGTACTCTACATATAAGTTAAATAAGCAAGGTGACAATATACAGCCTTGTTGTACTCCTTTCCTAATTTTGAACTAGTCAGTTCCATATCTGGTTCTAACTGTTGCTTCTTTACTTGCATACAGGTTTCTCAGAAGACAGGTAAGATGGTCTCATATTCCCATGTCTTTTAAGAATTTTCCACAGATTATTGTGATCCACACAAAGGCTTTAGCATAGTCAATGAAGAAAAAGTGGATGTTGTTAATGTTTATTTTATTTATTTACTTGGCTGCACCAGACCTTAGTTGGGGCATGGAGGATATTTTAGTTGTGACATACAGGATCTAGTTCCCTGATCAGGGATCAAACCCAGGTCCCATGCACTGGGAGTATGGAGTGTTAGCAACTGGACCAACAGGGAAGTCCCTCGTTAACCTCTTCGGATCAAAGAGATGATTTTTGTGAAGATGTACTCAAGTGGTTATGCTGTCTTTGGAGGCCTTAACAACACTAGGAGCAGTTCTGATGGGAAGGGGAAAGTTTATTTCCGTAGAGAACCAGGGTTAGCAAGAATGTTCAATTCCACAGGGAAGTTTTGGTTATATATTTTCACAGAAACTTGAAGGACATAAAGTGCTACACTGAAGCTGACCTGGGAAACATTAAGACATGGAGAGTGGGCAAACATGGCTGCTGGGGAGCCAGGAGATAGGCAGAGCTTGAGCTCTAGGGAAGAGCAGATGTCGCTTGAAAAGCAGGCTTCCAGTACACTAACTGCTTACTGTGCTTTGGTTCACCCCAGTGTATGACAGGCCTCTAAGCTCCTGTTAGGAGAATAGAACATTATGTCCCTTTCTTCTTGTCAAACACATCTCAAAATTTGCCCTGAGGATGCCTTTTCTGTTTAACTCCCACTTAATTCTAGTTATTCAGTCATGCATCATCATTTGACTACTTCACTTACTTCTTGTACATTATTTATCTATACTTGTTGATCTCATTTTCATTGTTCTTTGGTCATTTCCTCAGTCAGTCTCACTATATGGAGACCTTTTAAAATCTGGTATTTTCCCCTCTCTAATATTTATACCCATCCAACAAACTCTGCCTGCTCGATGGGAGACACTCTCCTAGACCCTCAGTCAGATTCGAGATGAATAAGACATGGTCCTTTCCCTCAGAATAGTTAACAATGTAGTGGGGGTGGGGGATGCATGGGAGATGTATTTCCATGAAGAAATACATCTACCTGAAGAAGATTTGAATGACAGTGTCAAGGAAGACTATCATTCACCATCAGAGGTGATATTTAAACATGGTCTGCTCAAAGAAGTTTCAGAGTTTAGCTAGAGTTCATTTGTTCATTCAACAGAAATCTACTGAGTATCTTCTGTGTGCCAAGCACTGTGTTAGAGTTAAAGATACAAAGAAGAAAAGGTGTGGTCTGTGCTCTGAAGGAGCTCACAGTTCAGCAGAGGAAAGTCAGGGTTTGGAAATTAAAATGGTCTGAGTCAGATTTTGAAAGGCAACGCAGAGCTAGTAGAATTTAATCAGACAAGTAATATGAAGGAACGTGTGCTTTGAAGAGAGAGCTGGTAGCAGTGAGGAGGATGGCAGGCTGGAGTGGGAAAAGCCTGGAGAAACCGAGCCTACTTAGCAAACTATGATGAGGGCTTGATGAAGCAGGAAACATGGGGAGAAGGGGGCAGATATGTGAACTATTGGGCTTCCCAGGTGGCGCTAGTGGTAAAGAACCTACCACCAATACAGGAGAAGTAAGAGACGTGGGTCTGATCCCTGGGTCGAGAAGATCCCCTGGAGGAGGACATAGCAACCCACTCCAGTACTCTTGCCTGGAGATTCCCATGGACAGAGGAGCCTGGCAGGCTGCAGTCCACAGGATCACAAAGAGTCAGACATGGCTGAAATGACTTAGCAGGCACGCGTGTGAACTGTTTCCTCCCAAAGTCAGGGCAGCTGGAGACGGAGATGGAGCTGTTGCCAGTTGGAAGCACTGATGTCTCATCTAGGGTACGGTATCCCTCTAGGGCTTGGAGCCTAGATTCAGTGTTGTAGGCCAGAAGTCTCTTCCGCAGGAGCTGCAGTGCATAAGGTCAAGTAGAAGTTGACCAAAAGGCCATCTTGTGAGAAACTAAGACAAACTACCTACACAAGTAGTAAATATGAGGAACCAAGAAGGAAAAAGATTTCAAGTAGAAACCAACAGTTGCAAAACTGGGAAAACCAGATGAGAGTGAAAGACTGAAGTGAAGAACAGAGGGCAAAATGTGGGAAATTTTTTGAACCGACAAGAGAGAATCCGCACTGATTTTTAAAATTTATTTATTTTCAATCGGAGGATAATTGCTTGACAGTTCTGTTGGTTTCTGCCATATATCAACATGAGTCAGCCATAGGTATATATATATGTCTCCTCCCTCTTGAACCTCCCTCCCATCTCCCACCCAGTCTCACCCCTCTGAGCTCCCTTTTCATAGAGCAGATTACTACAGTGTCTTACATATGGTGACGTATATGTTGCAGTGCTCCTCTCCCAATTCGTCCCACCCTCCCCTTCTCCAACTATGTCCACAAGTCTAGTCACTATGTTTGCCTCTCCATTACTGCCCTGCATATACGTTCATCAGTACCATCTTTCTAGATCTCATATGTATGTGCTAACATATGATACTTGTTTTTCTCTTTCTGACTTACTTCACTCTGTATAATAGGCTCTCAGTTCATCCACCTCA